TGATGCAGCTTATTTGAAAAAATGAGGGGAAAAAAGGGAACAAAGCGAGAGTGAAATGAAAAAAGTCTTATTGTTAGCTCTCAAAGTCAAAAGATTGTACGGGACAAAAAGACAAAAGTAGAAAGTTTCAAAAATGTTATGTATAACAGCTGGAGGAAACTGAGTGAACTTTGAGTAGCTTTCTAATAATATGAAAAGTCGTGAACTGCGCTCGCAGAGCGAGACTTTGAAGAGCTTGGTGGTCATGCAGCAGTGTAAAGCTATTTGATTTTTATTTGTGTAAGTTCTGACTGGACGTGATTCTTTGCTTCCTCACATCTGGGACGAATAGGGTCCGAAAAATGGATGGTAGAAGTTTTACTTTGCAATCTTTTCCACTTCAAAGATGACGTATACAATTCTTCTACTTTTTGCCCGAGCAAAACCGTAGTTGTGGAATCTCGATGGTGTACAGTTTTTGTCACTAATCATTTACTGTTGATTTCTTTTAGCTTTTCATTAAATTTTTTGATTTTAGGACTCAGACATCAAATGAGCTGGTCCAGATTTATTCCTCCACTCCATGTGTGCGAACGATAGCGAAGCAGCCGTTTTTGGCTACCAATGAGATCCATCAAGTAATGCTACAGTATGTGCCGGATTATTCAGGTATGTTTATCTTGAAATATTGCGAGAATTTGTACTTCAAAACTTTTGTTCATCCCTTAATCGATTTCCATTGTTCTTACCCTTTAATTTTATTTCTATACTCCAGGGTAAGATAGTTTAATTTTATTCATCCTATCTGTTTAAGTCCTTCAAGTTTTTTTGGGTAAAAATTTTTGCGTATGTCATGCTAATCGTTTTTATACAGGTCATCGAACCCATATTCTGACGGCCGTGGATGTGTCCTCCAAACGTTTGGTGAACATATGGATGGCTCATGCCAAGGCAGAACCTCCAAACATCTCAAAAACGTATGATATGCGCATTCCAATCAGCGAAGACACCATAATAACCAAGGTTGGTT